AGATAAAAAATTTTCAAATAATATCTGAAAATCAGAAAAAATCAGAACAGATAATTTAAAAAAAAGATAAGAATAATAATAAATATATAACTATATACATATAAATCTATTCTAATGAAAAAAAAAGAATATATATATATATATACATATATTAATACATAATAATAAATAATAAAATACACAAGAGAAAAAAAAATATAAATAAATAAAAATAAAAAATACGGGGTAAAAATTCAATTGGGCCTTGCCCATTTGGGCCAGGCCCAATTGATCCGGGTCAGGCCCAATTGATCCGGGCCCGGACCTGATTGGGTGTCTACAGCTGCCCCTCTTTGCGTATTTTCTGTGAAACAGAAATTGCGCAAAGACGTAGACACCCAGTCAAGACCCGACTCGACATTTTCATTTTTTTGTTTTTTTTTTTTTGTTTTTTTTTTTTTTTTTTTTTTTTGTTTTTTTTTTTTTTGTTTTTTTTTTTTTTTTTTTTTTTTTTTTTTTTTTAGCTCCTCTTGACAGAGGCTCTACGACTTTGAAAAATAAATTGCTCCTCTAAACAGAGGTACCACGACTTTGAAAAGTAAATTGCTCCTCTAAACAGAGGCAACGGAACTTTGAAAAGTAAATTGCTCCTCTCAACAGAGGCACCACGACTTTGGAAAGTAAATTGCTCCTCTCAACAGAGGCACCACGACTTTAGAAAAGTAAATTGCTCCTCTCAACAGAGGCACCACGACTTTAGAAAAGTAAATTGCTCCTCTCAACAGAGGCACCACGACTTTAGAAAAGTAAATTGCTCCTCTCAACAGAGGCACCACGACTTTGGAAAAATAAATACTCCTTGACAATCATGTCCAAAGGAGTTGAAAGTTGTGTTTGAGGGAATTTCAGGAGATCATGCCCAAAGGTCTTATAAATCAATCCTGATACCCAAAAGGCATCCTATTTCAAGGATTAGGAACTTACCTGACAGGCTTTCTCTTTTTCAGTTTTGCAAAATATCTTCATATTTGTCTTCTCCATGTGGGATGTTGGAACGCCCCCGCTTCTTGAATTTATACACCATATTCTCCTGAAAGTAGTGTATGCTGTGCAAATGCATATGAATTTCAATGCATGCTATGCAAATGTTGACCAATTAATTCATGTTCAATGTATGGTACTCAAGTTTCTCAAGCTCTTTTTCTTTCTTGGGTGTCAAGCCTTTGGATTCATCAAGGATCCAATTGCACTGCTCTTCTAAGATCGAACCAGTGTAGCTCTCAATTGTCTCTTCCACTCACATTCTTCTTGTAAGAAATCTCTTCCTAGATTCAATTTCCTAATTAGGAACTGAACATGTCGATTCTGCCTTTTTCACTCTTGACTCATTCAATGTAATGTAAAAATCTTTCCTGTTGTTATTCATTCATCAATCATTATTTCAAATTCAAAAAGTAAGAATGCATTTGTACATTTCTTCAATGGTGGGGTATTAAAAGAATCTGAATGTTGAGAAACAGTCATACGAAAAAGACACAAAGAATGGAATAGAATGTCTCTTATTAGCAAAATGTTGGCAAACTTTGGTCAAGAAAGAAGTACAAGGATAGGTATGGGGACAAAGCCCAAAATGAACAATCAGATAATCATGATAACACATCTCAAAGTCTTTTCTGAAAACCCGACCCTCTGATGTATTTAACAACTTGGAACTCTTCCGAACTTGTTGGCCCCCATATCAGCAGACTTTTAAATTCGATGCTGTATCCTCCTTATCTAAGCTGCCTTTTCAGGTTTTCAACTTAGACAAACCCCTATGACTCAAACCGCCCTTTTTGGGTTTTCGCCTTGAGTCCTCCTTTTTCATTCACTTTTTCTTTTTTCCATTTTTTCATTTTTTCATCATTTTTCATTTTTTCATTTTTATTTTTTTCATTTTCTCATTTTTATTTTTATTTTTTTTATTTTTTTTTCAAGCATAGTATTTCTTCACAGCATCAGAATTTACAGGATGGGGTAAATCATTTCCATCCATCTCAGTCAGCATCAATGCTCCACCCGAAAAAGCTCGTTTTACCACATACGGCCCTTCCCAATTCGGAGTCCATTTTCCTCTACCATCGTGCTGGATTGGGAGAATTCTTTTCAAAACCAACTCTCCTTCTCGAAAGCAACGGGGCCGAATCTTCTTATCATGAGCCCTCATCATTCTTCTTTGATATAGCTGACCATGGCACAACGCAGTCAATCTCTTTTCTTCTATGAAATTTAACTGCTCATAACGTTCTCGAATCCATTCAGCCTCTTCCAACTCAACTTCTTTTAAGACTCTCAAAGAGGGGATCTCTACTTCTACTGGTAGTACAGCTTCCATCCCATAAACCAAAGAAAATGGGGTTGCCCCAGTAGAGGTGCGAACTGACGTTCGATATGCAAGCAAGGCAAATGGCAACTTCTCATGCCAATCTTTGTAAGTCTCGGTCATCTTCTCCAGAATCCTCTTTATGTTCTTATTGGCTGCCTCAACTGCCCCATTCATTTTCGGACGATAAGGTACCGAGTTATGATGCTTGATCTTATATTGAGCACATATTTCTTGCATCATCTTACTATTTAGATTCTTGGCATTGTCTGAAATAATTCTCTCCGGAAGTCCATATCTACAGATGATCTCTTTCTTTATGAACTTGCAAACCACGGAGCGTGTCACATTTGCATATGATGCTGCTTCCACCCATTTTGTGAAGTAATCTATCATCACAAAAATGAATCTGTGCCGGTTAGAAGCTTTTGGAGTGATTGGACCAATGACATCCATGCCCCACATTGAAAATGGCCATGGTGGTGCCATAACATGTAAAGCAGATGGTGGAGCAAGGATCTTATCAGCATATATCTGGCATTTATGACATTTACGAGCATAGTCGATGCAATCATTCTCCATCGTCAACCAGTAATATCCCGCTCTCATGATCTGTCTTGCCATCATATGTCCACTAGCATGTGCCCCACATATTCCCTCATGCACCTCTTTAATGATTTTCTTCGCTTCAGTCTCATCTACACACCTCAATAATACTTGATCTTTACTTCTTTTGTACAGGACATCCCCATCCAGGAAAAAGCTCATAGCCAATCTTCGGATGACCCTTTTATCATTTTCTGTTGCATGAACTGGATACTGCTGATCCTTGACATACTGTAAGATGTCATAATACCAGGGTTTTCCATCTCCTTCCCCTCTACATTAGAACAATACGCTGGTATATTCCTTAACATCTAACTTGATGGGCTGAATGTCCGTATTATGATTAATTCGAATCAATCGCAGCCAGAGTAGCCAATGCATCAGCAATCACATTCTCTTCCCGGGGTAGTGATCAAACTGGACTCTCAAATTGTTTCGTCAGCTCTAGAATATACTTATGATACGGAACGAGTTTTGAATCTCTCGTCTCCCATTCTCCTTCAACTGGGTATATCTAGAGCTGAGTCTCCAAATAACTTTCAGTACTTTCACTCTCTTGTCTATACGCAAGCTTGCCAGGCCCCATGACACATGCCTCATACTCAGCGATGTTATTTGTGCCAATTAAAAATTTAAACCTCGCTGTTACAGGATAGTATTGTTCTTCTGGAGAAATCAAAATTGCCCCAATTCCATGCCCCAAAGCGTTAGTAAGCTCAACTAAAGTACATTCCCAACATCTTTTCCACATGCTCCCTTCTTCCCAGTCGGGAAAATAGTCATTCAAGCTCCTTCGTCAGGCCGAATTCCAAAGCTTCATTCGGCTCATACTTCTCTTACAGTTAGCACGAGTCTTGCAATGAAATTCTGCTATATCTGCAACCTCCCTTTTATTGGCTTTTGCTCACGTAATAATAATCATATTCCGAGTAGCATTAACTTGCCAATCCTAGCAATTCCTTCCTGACAAAGAAAGGCTTCTCCGTTAAGACTATCACCCTCTAATTGCGATCCAGTTTTGCTATGAGCCACGTAGA